TATATCTTTTCTTGCATTTACTTATATCTTTGCAACTGTTTCCTATCTTAATAACACTTTAGCAAACTTAACAGGAAAGAGGAGAAATGAACAGCTATTTTATATTAAAACATGTCTGCCTTTGCAAAATAAATATTTACAGAAAAGATTTTCAGTCTCATTACCCTGCAGAGTCAGCTAGTCATCATCCCATGCCTTTTACTGTAGCAAGACACACAAAACAAACTTCATTCTTGCAAAAGAGATTGTTCTTCCCATTTTACAGTACTATATCTCTCCAACTCCTCTCCAACTGTACCTCCAACTGTATCTCCAACTATTAAGAAGCCTCATAAAAGTCTGATGAGAAATTATTCTAATCAGCTCTCTTTGCATAGAAACAACAAAGCACTACGTAATTCCCTGTCAACAACCTGAATTATCCTTGTGCTTACACAGCCCTAGGAGAGTTCTCAGAATCCAGGAAAATTGCAGAACCAGCCCATTGCTTTAAGTCATCCCATATTTACCTAACATTGTTATTTCTTTTTACCTATGCATCACTTACATGCCGCTATAGATACTGTGCATTAAATGCAGCTTTTCCAGTGAGGCTCAACCTTGGCTGAGGTTACTGAAATAACACTCTTCTTTCAACAGTCAGTACTGAACCGTGTGTAGTACAATGGACTTTACAATCACACTACTCTTTCAACATCAATTCAATCTAATTGCAATCTCAAAACTATGGATAGTCCAGTGCTAGTGGTATTTTAAGCATATCCCTTCTTTCTACTTAGTATATTAGCGCATGCTCTCACACACCATGAAATGTATCTGAACACAGCAAATAGCTTCATCACCCTACAGTTGTAAATGGAAAAAATCTAAACTAATTACAAATACTCTCTTAAATTAAAATACAATCAGAATATGATATCCATCCTAAATCACCCTCCCTAAAGGGTGATTGCATGGGACTAACAAAATGATCATTTGTTTTAAATTTACAGGTGGCTCAAGGAAGTTTCACGTGGATATTACCTCAGAAACAAGGCGCTACTTATTCTCCCTAGCAGCGATATTTTACATGGCATTCTGGGATCAAAATGCAATTTCAACAATAATATATTTTCTGGCTTTCTCCAAGGAAAAATTACTAGTTTCTTTCCTCTAAAAGGATTTGGATGGAATAACATCTGTGTGGAGATTATTGTGAATATGTTAAACTGACAGCAAGTCTCTAAGGARCACTGCTCGTTAATGTTCTGTGCATAAAATTAAAACTTGAAATATATTTTTCAATCCATTTTGAATCATTTAAGCATTTCTCATGCAAAGAAACTATTGTGCTGCAATAATATATTTGCAGAGAACATGAAAGCTATTAAATTGTCTTAGACCCCCTGCCTTTCATACAAAAAGAAAAAAAGGCAATTCTGACTTGAAACATGCACAGTATTGAGTCACAAAAAAAAAAAAAAAAAAAAAAAAAAAAAAATCAAAAGCATGAAGAGTTTGGGTTCAGTTTATATAATGCAACAAATTTGAAATTATGTTTCCTTCCTTCATCTTTGTTTCATGTTATACTTAAGTACTCCAAAATGTATCAAGGGGAGAGCTCTGGTAAGTGTTGCACTTAGGTATTTACAAGGATTCTTTTCCCAAGTATCTCATGTAAAATTTTTATAGGCATCTCATGTAAAACTTCATTTTGAGCCCCAAACAAGGAATCTTTCCAAGGGAAAAAAAAAAAAAAAAAAAAAAAAAAAAAAAAAAAAAAAGGAAAAAGAGAAAGTATTACTGAGAAGCACCCAAATTCCTTTAAGATTGCTCAAGCCTTTGATGCACATGAATACGAACGAAGTTAGAGCTGTAATCACCATTTTATAACAAGAAAATATTGAATCATAGGGAAAACAGAGACCACACGCAGTGTTCCGAAGTCATTGAATCATTACAGCCACAATAAGATCACGACATACTGTTGTTGTCATGAACAACAAGGAAGGACAGGGCTGGAAAAGCGTCTCCCAAGCACTTCCATACTGCTGCTCTCCTAGGTCTGCCAAAACACAAACAGCCCCTACATGACCAAGACCTTTTCTAAACCAGCCAAGTAATTAGTTTCTCCACATTTATCCTGCCAAGTTACAGTATTATGTTCTGAGGTCCTCTAAAGCACCTCTTGCACACTCACYGTTTTGTGTGTATTTAGAGGAATAAAACATCAATAGCTTTTTTTACAGCATCCACTGCCTCTTGAAGAGGATTCTCAGTTGTTCTTTCTCTGCACATTACCAACCTGAGTGACATAGAGCTCTTGGTAAAGAGATTAAGCATTTAGCTTTAGTTGTCATAACTTTATTTGCCATTTTATGCTGAATAATTTAAAATAATAATTCATGTTTCTGGCCTAAGAACTAACAAAACATAAAAGTCTCTCAAAAAGCCTTTTACATCAGAAAAGACAGATGATGGTATTGKTTTTTTCTTTCTTTCTTTGCTTTTGGTGGAAGGCATCCACAGGAAGACTCTTTATTTCTCCTGGCAAGAGGATAATGATAATGCATATATATGCATAATAATGCATTAGGTGCACTATAACCCATAGAAGTGATAAAATAATGCTGGGATTACAGATATGATCCAGGTTTGACCTTGTAACTGAAGCTCAAGTTACAAAATAGAGTACCATGTAACAAAGTACTTTTCACAGATATCTTTARTACAAGTTCTCAGAGATGCTGACCTAACGCTTATCAAATATGCCTTGCAGGATTTCCTATCTATTTCAAGATTTGTCATGTGCTGATAAGTGTTGCATATACCTACAATATAACACCAGGCTTTTGTCCAAAACCCTTTGAATCTCAGTGTACCTGTGCTCCTAAGCTGCGCAGGAGCTCTTCAATTATTCTGTAAAATCCTTTCAGGTCTTTTCTAATTCTGAAAGTGTTCTTATACTGTCTTGTACTCAAAGACCTAATAAGAGGGAAAACCAAGCATTCATTTACTACATCCTCTCACCTGAAATATAATTCAGTTAAATACCAAGAGTATTATATTGTTTTCACAAACACTAATATAGCTTAAATCCTAGCACAAAGAAAACTGTGAATTTGGTCATTTTCATTAAAAAAAAWYCYTTTTTTTTTTTTTCCTTTTTTCTTTTTAAAGAAGAGATCAAAAGCTCTAAGAAGGCGGCTTTGGAGATAAATAGGAGTAAGCAACRGAACTTAATTAAATAAGACAAATGAGTAAGCATTTATGGGAGTGATTGGAGACTCAGCTGAATTAATTGGTAGCCTAATTRTCAATTAGACTTAGACAATCAAGAAATGGCATGTAAGCAAAATATTGTTATATTTCTTGGTTGTTTAATGAATTTAGAGATCCAGAAGAGCCACATTAATTGCTATTTTAGGTCCACAGAAGGATGTTTATATTTTTCTCTTACTCAAATAGAAGTTCTTTGTATTTTTAAAATGACTAATAAAGGTGTTTACAGTCTTCCAATACTCAAATATTTAGGGCCTTTAGATCCTTTGCCCTAGAGAAAAAAAGTAAATAAAATAGAAGCAATTAAGCATTCAAATAGGTGGCCTATAACTGCTCAGCTCAGGTCAAAACCTTTCTGCATTTATAATATGGATAATAATAGMCAAATAGTGTGAAAGAGTCACATTAAATATTTACAGTGTGTTTGTACAAACCAGTTTCCAGACAAAAAGAAGGAGCCAGGGAATTATTTAAATCCATAAACGGAAAGAGCCAGTTGGCTACATTCGCTGTCGAAATGTTTTTATAAAGCAACTGCAAGAAAGTAAGAGTCCCAAGAATTGATGGAGAGCCAGAAATATTAATATATTGGAATGGAGTGGATTATATACAAGCTGGAAATATCCGCGAGAGGACGGTGAAGATTCTCACGTATAACCCTTATATAGTGCTCAAGGTTTAGCATCTTAAACCTTCCAATATATATTAGCATGTGAATATATATTAGCTTGTATAGAATCACTTCTACTGGAAAAGGAGGTTGGAAAGACACCACTTTGTCACAAGGCCTACATATTTCCCTCTACAGTTACTGAAAGTTGGAGATTTGGGGTGTATATCTAAATGAACTAGGAATAGGAGGCAGCAAATTAAAAGTCGAAGAAAAAAAAATTCTATCACAGCACACACCAATTGCTCCATTTCCTTAGCACTGAATTTAAAACCAAGCTGGTTCTTATTAAAACCATCAACTATCCTTCATCTCCATCAAAAATAGAATTTAAAACATTATATTTTTCACCACCAACAAACTTCTTTGCCCAGGTTTAAAAGACACCATTAGCAGCTGAGCATCTGGAAAGGTCCCCAAACCAGCTGCCTTCCCTTGTAAAGAATCTGAATAACCAACAAAGTCTCATGTTTAGAAAAGCACCTCTCCCACTGAAAAAGGCTAATTCCCCAAGGAAAGCAAGAGCTCAGCTTTCTACCAGATTCATTCAAGCATTTTAGTTTTTAATGAAAAAAAAAAGTAAAGTGTTTTGAAAATAACCAAAAAAAGCGGGAACTTTTAGCTTTCCACCTGGAAAACGCCAGTTAAAGAGCTCAGCTTTCTACCAGACTCTTTCAAGCCTCCTGAATAGCTTTTGATTTTTAATGAAAAAAAAATGTAAAATGTTTTCAGGGGAAAAAAAAAATTAAAAAAAAAAAAAAGCAGGAGCTTTTAGCTTTTCACCTGGAAAACGCCAGTTAACGGCAGGAAACGCTGGTTCCAGGTGGGTTTCTCCTCAGTGGCAGCAGGCAAGATGGAGGCGTGAAGACGCCCCTGCGCCTTGAATCTTTGTTTTTTTTAATTTTTTTTTTTTTTTTTTTTTTTTTAATCTTTTTGTCCCTCCCCCCCCACGAAGGGGTTGGTCACGCGGAGGGCGCCGTTGGGCGCTGGCGCCCGCCCTGGCCGCCCTCGTGGCGGCGGCTGCGCGCGCGGCTCCCGGCAGCGCCGCCATCTCGCGGCGGGACGCGCCATGGCGCACGGCCGCGGCGGCGCCGCCCCGCCCTGCAACTTCGTGGCGCAGGACAACATCTGGTAACCGACCGGGCTGCCCCTCGCCTCCCGCTGCCTCTGCCCTTCCCGCGGCAGCGCCGGGGGCGAAGGGACTTGCCCGCGTTTTGTCCCACGGACACCGTGGAGCTGGGTGCTGCCCACGCGCGCAGACCCCTTCCAGAGGCCGAACTGGCCTCTTAATTATCATTAACCCACTCCARTAGCGGGTGAGGAAGGGGCTGAGGCTGCCCAAGCACCCGACACTTGTCCCTACCCCAAACCCTGTGGGGAAGGGGGACAGGCCAGGGACGAGGTTCCTTCATCAGACCTGAGAGCAGCAAGGGAAGAGGAAAGGGTTCCTATATAGGAGCCCCTATATAAGGGTTCCTATAACCAGCAGTTATAGGAAAACATTGTGGGGCTTTTGCTTCCCCAGCCTTCTAAAAAGGTGGCATAGCAACCGCAGGCTCCGCCACCCAGCCTCTCCTAACACAACCATAATGTTTATGGTAGCTGGGAGGAAGTTTCAGACTCACTGGAAATACTTTCTCTGTATCTCAGAGGCAGCCACGAACTTGCTGGTTTGAGGTAGAGTCTAAAGTTCCCTCCTAAAGGCCTGGGGTTTGCTGGCAAGAGTTGCTGGGCTTTGTTTTAGAGAGCTTTACTTACTTATGTAAAGGTTTCAAACGTATCTTTGTTTGCTTCAGGAAAAAATACGTTGAACGCGAGCTAGAAGCTGCAAAGAGATGGTCTCAGAATTGGGGATTTTTAAAAACGCCTCTCGAAGAGGTAAAATGATTAGAATATAATAACACTTGAAATTTACTTACATAGTGTACGCAGAATAATTAAATACACCTTCTGATTAAGCTATGTTTTCTTGTACCCTCATCTGTACATAAAAAGAGCATGAAAGTGAAGAAAAGTACTGAGCTTGCTTTAGTAAGTTAGGTTCCTACTTAACAAATGCAGGACTTTCAAGATGGCCTCAAAGTTCCAGTTTTCCTCAGAAAAAAAATATAGCAAGTAGTAATTTATATGCTGTGCATATTTTGATATATTTCTCTTGATAAACATGACTTCCACTACTGCTAACAAGAACTAGATGCACATTGACAGGAAAATATTTCCCCTTTGTCTACCCATATGGTAGTTTAAAAATCAAGGGGAAAAGGTTCTAGCTAATTAAGTTTTCAGTAGGGAAGCTTACAGCAGACTAAAATATTTGAAAAGAGATGTCTGTTCTCAGTGTTTAGACAGTAGAATATAGTAGCAAATACTATATGTCAATTTTTTGTTGCTAAAGAACAGGATCAGTGGAGCCCCAACATAAATTATAAATAAAGGCTTAATCTGCTTTGGTACTTTTGAAAATGCCCCAAGTTTCCAAATTAGTACCTCTAATCCTTGCATTTTCTAGGATTCCCATTCTTTCGTTGATAACATGATCAGTTAAGTATATCCCCCTTTGCATAGTGCAGAGCTACAGCTAAAAAGGGTGATAGATTCCAAGTAGTGATTATATAGGGGAATGTATTTAGCATGTATTAATCCTTGGTTTGTGGTCATATAAGATACATTTACAATCCTTTATAGGATGGATGACGTCATTGAGAGGTGGAATCACACTTTTAGCCTTTCAGCTAAAACTTAGAATTAAATCAATTTCTAAAATCCAGAAGTAAATTGCATTGACTTCCAAATCACTACAGTAAGTTATCCTATTTTATATGGTAAGAGCAGAGTGTTTATCAGATAAAGCAATGAAGGGAATGGTACAGATATCAGACATTAAAATATATTTCTAAGGATGAAGTGTTCATTTTTTAATGTAGATATTCTGGTTTTAGTTGATTGAAGATGAGAAGAAAGAAAAAGCAAAGCCCAAGATAGAACTTCCAGCACATCTGCAGATTCGACCTGTGACACCTGTGGAAAAATATATTAAGGTTGTAAAATTAGATTTAAAAAATTGCAATGTGGTGGAATCCGTTAAGCAACCATGTAAACTCTAAAAATCAATTGTTTGTTAGATGTGGGCCTTTAACTAAAGGTCCAAGTAAATTGTATTTGAAGCCCAAGCAGTGCTTTAAAGGGGTTCATTTAGACAAGAAATTGCCCTGTGGATATAGTTTTTAGTTCACAGAGCTTTCACCATACATAATTTCTGTATAGAACTTCCTCTATACACTCYTTTGTGACACCTACTAACACAAGTCACCTATGCAGCTTGGTATATAGRAGTGTTCACAGTGTATGACTGCTGACCATCTCACAAATATGTACAAACACAGCTGGTTCAAGGCCCAGAATAACCTGATCTCTCAAATACTAATAAAAAAAAATGGCAATGATTTTTCTGGATTAAATCGCAACAAAAACGACTGCTTTAAAGGCCTCTTTAGTGGCACAAATTGGATGAGCCAGGAGAAGCCAGTTCTAATGTGCTACTTTATAACTGTTTGGCATTCTGGTATGTGATTTATATTCATAGTCAAGAATTTGTACAAGCACAACTGGAACAAGCATGGAATGTATGATGGTTTGATTTTTTCGAGTGTCCACAGTCAGAACCACCACTGAATGGCCACTGTACAATAAAGGCAGTTATATCAGTGACATAAAGAGGAACTTACTCATAAAGGCAAAAGCAGGATGTGGTTGATATCAGAAAAAAAGGTTAGTTCCCTTTGAGATGACCAAGGAAGCAAAAGAGAATGGAAATTCATGTTTGGTGTGACCATTCCTTCAAAGGATTTCTGGGGTGGGGAAAGGAGGTAACAAAAGCTTTCATTGAGATTAAATTGAAACAAATATTAGAGTCTGTGATGAGTGTAGGAGAAGAGTGCAATGGCAGCATTTCTTCCATTATGCCCCTTGCTCTTTAGTTCTGTCACAAGCCTCAAATTTTAGTCAGTCACACTGACCTCTTCAGCACAATCAGGTTCCAGATCACCCGGAACCTCCCAAAACAGAGCTCCATGTTGCCATTTGGCCTTAGAACCCTTATTCGTCAAGGAGAACACTGTTTAGTGAAGATTACAGATTCAGATTGAAATTTCCTAAATCCCTTTTCTGAAGGTTGTGTTTTCATCTACATTTATCTTCTTGGTAACAGTCATCATCATGTGGATTTATAATCATTTCTTCGTTGTCCTTTCCCCCAGATTATAAGTAGGATATGATTTCCTTCATTATTCTGCTCAGTGGGTGGCACTTTTGGCCATAAAAATTATCTTTTCAGAAGAACTGCTCCACCTAAATATCATACACATTTTTTAATCTTGGCCAAAGAACAAAGCGAAGCAACTCTGGCAGGAGAACTGAAACATTGTTCTCTTGCTGTGTATTTCTCTACTGAGTAAGTCCCCAGATGCTGAAGTGAGACAACGTGCCCATTTGAGATGATTCAGCCAAAGTAAGCACAGCAGTCGGTGAACAGAGGCTGCTGGCTTTGGCTTTGTTTCTTTTTCAGCTAGATTAGTTGCAGATTAACTTGATGCTTACCCATCTTTTAAAGCAGAAAGAAAGAGGAATAGATACCTAGTCCTTGATGCAAAAGCCATCTTGGACTGTAGTATCTTCAGCATTTGGCCTTAGACTATTATTCCATAGCTGCGTTACTACCAAATACATTGCAACAAGTAGAAAATAGTTACGGCTTTGGTTCAGAGAASTTAACTAGAATAAAAAAACACTGTTCTGTAAGGAAAGAAGATTAAACTAAAGCTTAGATTCTTCCCTTAATAAGGTAAAGCAGGTGAAGAAATGTATTAACAAAACTATAAACGAGCATCCATAACCCAGATGTACTGAACATCTTAACCTGCAAAAGTGCTAATTCCCCTCTTTACTTACGTTTCCTTGGCAGAACTAAATATAGTAACATATACTACCAAATAATAACAGTTTATACGGCATTTGAAACCACTGTATTTGCATGAAAGAGAATGTTGCATGACAGAATGAACACCAACAATTTCTTGGTTGCTGAATCCTACATATTATTTTTATTCTAGGTTCATCCATCTCCTCCAGTACCTAAAACAACGCAGGGGTTTATTGGCTGGAGATCAGCTGTTCCTGAATTGGAACTTGAACGTGGGTATCAAATCCAAAGCTGCAAGGGCAGCTTCTTCAAGGATCTGAAGTGGCCATGTGAGCCTTCTGATTGAAGAAATAACAATTAGACATATAGATACATTTGTGTTCCTGAATAAATTAGCATACTATAGCAAACTGCTGGATGTAAACATTTCTGCCTTAAACACAATTTATGTAAACATGCACAGTCATTTTGGTGATTTGTGAATATCTTAATGTATCATTTTACTTGTTATTGTTTAAATCAACAGTATTGAGGGTGCAAATATTGCTTTGGACATACTTAAATGTAAAAATGAATAAACTCATAAAAAACAACAGAACAAATATTAATAGGTGTATGATTTTAAAGTATTCAGTGAGAACATTTTAAAAAGATATTTTACAATAAAAGAGCACATTTTTAATTATTTTTCCATGTAAACTTCCACCAAGATTCAGTTTCACATCAGCTTACTCAAACCAACACACTGTCACGTTCCCGATAACCACACCTTGCTGCTCCTTTCCACTTCAGCTGCTCTCAGCAYGGAGTATGTCTTGTAGAACTAGATTTCAGTTGGATCAAGAATCTGAACCATCCCACTGTCCATCTACCCAAGGCCGGTGCTAGCACCAAGGAGACAGAACGTACAAGCACAGGAAGGGGATGGAGAGGGACAGAGAGRCAGGAATAACAACTTAGCTGCCATAACACTGCATCCTTATATTTGAAAATAAGCTTTTTGCATTAGAAAAAAAAAATCACACCAAAAAAATTATCTGTGTTCCCTACAGTCAATGAACAGCAACTTCAAAGAACACAGAGGTGAATAAGATGAGTTACAATTATTAAATATACTGTCTTTTGCATTGTGTATGCTTTACAGGTACTTTGTGTAATTACACAGCTGTGTAATTGGGTAGATCACAATGGATTTGCTTGATCATTACAAGAAAAGCACACACGCTGTTTAGCAAAACATTGAGAAGTCACTTTCAAAATTAGCTTTGGTATCAAAACAGTTTTTTGATTGTTTAATTAAGTCATCAGCATGCAAACTCTAAGCATGTTTCTATATGTAAAAATATGATACAAGGTATTTAGATTACTAGAAATATTTCAGAAATATGTATACCCACCAGTATTGGTGAAATACTCAGAAAGAAGCTGTTCAAGTAAGTTGATTAAARAGATAATAATAAATAAGCCTACTGCAAGTATTTTCTTGAATTAAAAACTTCTAAATCCATACACCTTCATACATCATTTAATCCATATTTTACATAAATGTACAATACATTTTATCAAATCTTTTCTAATGGCAAACTCATTTAACAAACACAGTAACAAATACTTGTGTAGAAACCAATAATAGACATCAACAATACACATAGCTTGAGTAACCTACCAAGAATCTTTCCGACTTATCACGCTACTGCTTTTTGACTGTAAGGTTTGTCACAGAGTATTTATACTTAGCAACTTGGGGAATCTCACCCTATTTATCAGACATATCATCATTGCACTACATAGCTTACTGCAGTAATGGAGAAGCTTAAAATTAAATACTTCTCATTACTCTAAAATCAAAGTCCATAACAGATTTAATGTTGCTACAAGATCTTTCTTGTGTTCTGGAACTACCAATATCTACTTCCTGAGTCAGCAATAAATCCGTATCTTTCATAGCAGTAGGTTGGCTGCTCGTGTTTGTTCTTTCTTTCTTCCCAAGAAATGACTCACAATGATCAACATCCCACTTAAAAAAAAGTTCCAAATGCCCACAAAATAATATTTTACTTTTTCCATATTCTTTACAAATAACAGAGAAGTGACTCATATCCTTTGGAAAGATTACCCAAGAATGAGAATACATAGCAGAAGTAATTTCAGACACATTACTAAAAAACAAAACAAAAGAAAAAAACAAATAAACAGAATAAAGAATAGCGTGGAATCAGACTCTGGAAATTTAAACTCAATGGCAATTTAGCTACTAACTAACTAGAACATGCTTAAACTACTAATTCAACAAACAAGATAATTGCAAAAACAGTATTTCAAATCCGGGTGTTTTCTTATTGCTGTGTTTAAATCTATTTTATCACAAGTTTCAGCTTGTTTAAGCTCTTGTCCAATTTAAACAGATACAGTAAAGATCTATCTGCAATTTAGTAGCAACAAAATTACAAGAATCAAGAACCACTGTAGAAAGATTAAATGAAACATGAAGCTTCAAAATCACTGGGGTTTTTTGTTATTTTTTTTCCCCATTTATTTATTTTTAAAAGTGTTATATAAAAGAACCAGAGTTGGCACCTAATATCCAGGAGATGTTTGTATGAAGTAAAATTCTAATCCTTGAGTCATGGTTTGATTTTGAAAAATGAAAACAAATTCTTTGTCTGGCACCTACAGTTAGATGCTTCTGAAGCTTATGCCTAGCACCTGAAAATTAATTCTGTATCTACAATTAKGGTTTTGATTATTAGTATTCTTTCCATCATTTAAGATATATTTACTTCAATAGAACTTTGATATAGCCTGATTTGGGATATGGAAGGCTAAAGTTTGAACTGCTTCCTCTAGCATAACTCCATTAATTGCTTGTTTTCAAGAACACATGAAATTATGAACTTGTATTCGAAACTTATTTCCCCCAAACTTTTACCTTTTACACCTCAGCAATGTGTGCAGCCAGGGTGCATTCACAATTGCCAGACTGCCCCATCAACAGCCCAAACTGAACACAAAAGCATAATGAAGAATTATTAAATTGCTCTGAAATGTTCCAAACCTAGCATTTAATTTGTGAAAATTAACCTGTTTATTGGAGCCAGGTTGGGCACATAAATGCCACTGCACACTGCAAAATACCACGCTGTCTCCAAGGTCAGGACAGTGTTAGTAAACTCAGTGCCTGCACTAGGGAAATGCATCCAAACCAAATGAAATCACTTCAGCAACACAGCAAAAGTCAAGGCAATTGAAATTCTCCAGGCATCCCTTAGACCTGCGCTTGTGTCTGAACCAAACAGAATGGGGCGGTTCTAAACATAAAGCTCTGCTGTTTCTTTTGAACCAAAATTTGAAAAGAAGGGCATATTTCTAGGCATTCTGTGCTTGAATCTAGTTTTTATTTGGTATGATTTTTCATAAAAAGTCTAAGGTAATAGTAGCAAAGAGACAATTCATCCCTAGCTAAGTGTTTTTCTGATAACTGAAGTCATTCCGCCTCTCGACTGCTGTCTGCAGATAAACTAGCTCTTTGGCAACAGTCTCACCTTTAAACCTGAGCTATGGGTGAAGCTTTCACAACTTCTTAAGCAAAAGTCTCACTGTATTTGATACACATTTTCCACAGCAAAACATGAAAACATATCAGCCATCCATCTTTTGTCATGGGGGGGTTTATGCCTGTATATACTTTCCTGGGAATGTATATAGTAGYATGCCTGTATATGCCTGTATATACTTTCCTGGGAATGTATATAGTAGTAAAAGCTTAAATGACAATTGGGGTTATGTTGAACAACTAGGAGATGAGATTTATCTTGCTCACAAGCACTTGCTTGACTTATAAACATCAGAATTAGGTGGCAAAAACCTCTTCTATTTTCTTTCACATTGTGTTCTTTCTGTGCTGTCAGAACTGACATGGAACTGGCACTTGCTATTAGTAATTTCACTAATACAACATGTTTTACAGGGGGTTCAGACTTGAAAGATTGTCATTTAAAACACTTTTTGAGCCAGAAAATAAAAGATTTTTGATTAGATCATACTGAAATGGTGATTTTGACTAGGTAGCACTACCAAAATTGCAGTGACCACATAAGTGTTGCACATTTTGAGAGTATTAAAATGAAAAGCAACCACTGCATGTGCGTAGCAAATTGATTTAACTACTGTAAAAGGTGGCCACTTAGAGAACAAATCTCACCCCCAACCTACGGGAGACATTTCTATGAAGTTACACGCTGTGACTGTCCTGACGGACACCCACCGGAGTCCTGACAAATAGGAAAAAATTCACTCTGCAAAAGCTACTCCCTCCTTTTTCTGCTTTTGGCTGTTCTGCCCAGTCTGAAGCAACTTTCACCCTGAGACCACTTGTCATACAAGACAGAAGAGATAAGTCACTAAATAAAAAAACTTAAGGCTCCCCACGCATCCACATCATCTCATCTCCCTGGTTAGTGCAGGTTCCTTTGTTTTCTTTTTGTTTTCTTCCATGTTCTGTAGAGGACCCAAAGCAACAAACACCCATCTTACATAGTCACTAATAACCAGACAAGAAATCTGTCYTCCTGTGAGACTCCAAGTCTTTTGCTGCACTAGCTTCCTAGATGGGTTGTGTTCAGCTCCCCTTCAAACAGTGAGTGTTGATGTACCAAGAGATACGGCCACTAACAGACTGTTAGCACCTTCCCCAACTCCTATGGCTTTCACATACATCAGATTGTTATTTGACCAGTTGAAAGCACATCAAACCCTTTCACAGCATCAGAGTGTAATAAATTGGACTTTACTGGAAAATGTTCCTGTTATGCTTTGAAAGTGATTGAGCCACCACTGAGCAGAACATCAGCCCTTCGGTCTTGTCCATCATACCTGGGAAAGAGCAGCAGAAAAGCAGTATCAGGAAATAAAACTAGAAAGCTTGTTAAAACAATGCACATTGCTGAGATCTGATTCATGTTACACTAGTGAAACAACACAGAAAAGGATCGTTATTTCAGTCAACAGGAATTAAGGTAGTATTGGCCTTAAAGTTGCAATCTGCTTGCACAGGGCACAAGACTTGCTCTGTAACACACAGGATAAATCCAAGAGATTAAAAGAATGTTTTTTTCCCAAATACCTCCATGGTGAATTTATTTCCATAAAGGTTTCTAACCGGGAATTCTTGGGTATAGCCTGAACAGTAGCACAGTCCCGCTCTGCACATGAGCGCAGAGCCCGCAGTGCTGCCCTGTGTGAGGTGGGACACACTTAGCACTCTGACCACTGCGTGTTAGCGACTGACAGAGCATGGAAAGCCCAAAACAACCCCAAGATCATGGAAAGCCCCTGGACAGCACCAGTCCTGCAGAGAATCCGGTGCGAGAATGTGTGACAAGTACTTTACAATACCTGTCTTGTCCTCTGCGCCATCCCCAAGCTGCGGTGGCTTGCAGGGCTGAAGCTTATGGCCAGCAATGTCAGCATCCAGGGAGGCAGTTTGCCAGATGTTCAGAGAAGRAGAATCACATGGGTTCAGACATAAAAGTAAACACAGCAGGTTAATTTAAATTCCTAATCACTTAAACAAATGCAGCTTTTTTACAGTATGCAGTATTTACCACAATATGCAAAC